AGCTCAAGACCTACAGAAGCCATATATCAATTTTGCCACCATCCCAAAGAATAAGAGAAAAGAGTAAGGGCTGCACCTTCCGTGGAGAAGTTGAGTTTCAAAGACATCTTTTCCCAGGTGCTAAAAGCACCCCTTAATAATAATTGCTTGAATTTGTGTTCTGCCTACACCAAATTCTGATGAACGGTGAAAATTTAGGACTAGCAAAATGTTGCTAATATTCCAAAAGAGGAACATCAATCCTTTTACAATAAAGCAAGGCAGAGGTAACATGGGGAGCACTAGACAGATCACACCTAATTTATTGAAATGATTTACTTGAAGCTGATGCAGAATTTGTGCACAACAGCAGATGCCTGGAGATCTGAGCAAAGGAGTTCAGGAAAAGAAGCTCACCTGGAACCTTGCTCCTATAAAAGTTGTCTTTCTCCTTCTGCAGCGATGTTGCAGATTTGTTTTCACCTAGGCTTGACACACAGTTGCTGCCATTTCATTTGCAGATCTGAAGAAATCATGTCAGTACAAGAAGTATAAGAAATGCAATAGTTGTTTTTTTTTTTTTTTTTTTTAAGATTAATTAAATAGTTATGGAAATGAGAGTTAAACAGAACCGGTTTGAGCCAACTTGCTTTATTGACTCTGCCTATCTGGATCCTGCTATGGCTTCAGGTACCTCACACCTTCTTTCCTTCCAGGTGTAGATCAGCCACCACACTTCAGCTGTGCTTTATTACATTCAGATCCAGTTCATTTATTAAAGTCTAATGCTCTGCTTTATCTATGTGAACGCCCACCACAGCTGCTGCCCAAGTTAAAAGAGGGCATTCACGTTTCCTAAGCGTGTTTCTCCTGTTATTTCTTGTAGCTCTCATGCATGAAGCAAAGGGAGGCTGGTGAGGGATCAAGTGCACCCTGGTGATGGTCAGGTAGGATTTTTTAATGAGCACCTCCCTCACGGTGATTCCTGATGCAGAAATCCAGCATTGGATGAAGGGCAAGTGTCCATAGTCTATGTTTTGGCAGAAACTTGATGTTTATGTTTCTGCACTAGGCCATTAGGGAGCTGTGGCATGTTTCAGCAGGAAGGATTTTAAGTTTTGAATCCTGGATTGGGTCCAAATGGACGGAGTGCGTTCTTCCTCCCCAAATTCCTCTTGTAGGTCCAGTTGGACACCATTTTTTGCCATTTTCTGTCCTAACCTGCATGGCTGGGTCATGTGCTTTATGGCACATGTATCCTTTTCACTGGAGGGGAAAGATGACTGAAAGCTGAGAGCATCAGTATAGATTTGGAAAATCCAGGTTTTCTGAACCACCCCAGGTTTCCCAACTGCAGTTCCAGCAATTTAGCCCTTCCATGCCCCAGATGAGATAGAGATAACAGCGCCCTACTATTTCCAAGCGGTAGTGCAGGCATAAATAAATACATAGAAGATTGCGGGGCACTCCAATATATTACAGCCATCAAAGTCGTGGTAGTTCTAAAGATTGACAGCTCACATCTTCACAGAATCAGTAAGAAAATCTGCAAAGCATCTGGATGAAGACTACTCCAGAAAGACACGGATATTTGTATAAGACTCTTGTGCCAATATTTCTGTCTGATAGGAATTAAGATGGATTATCAATCACAAATATAGAAGAGAGTTATAAAATGTAAAGTGAAACTGTATTATTATAATTTTAGTTCTTGATTTTCCCTATTTATCTTTCCAATTCTCTTCCACTACTAATCTATCTTGTTTAGGAAAAGTAGTATATAAGTATAGTGGAGCTTGATTACTGAGAATGGCTATTAATGTAGTGTTTCAGAGTGCTCTCTAGACAGTTAAAAGGCTTTTAACAATAAAGTATGAAGGTTTCCTTCAAATTTGCAGTCATCTGCCTTTTAAAAGTTTGTTTCAGTTGCCAACATTTCAGTGATTTATGGAAGCTAAAGTATCTGATTGTAGTCTCCCCACAATAGACGAGGGCTGTTTTTTCTTATTATTTTTAAAGGCAACATCATTATCTTAAGCATGGGGAAAAAAAGAAAAGAGCTACATTAGAAGATACAGCTTTCAAAATAATTTTGTAAGGCATCTGGCCTTATTTAAACCATCAAATTTACATTCAATTCCTTCAGGGATGGCTCTGTTGCTTTGCGCTGGCTCTGTGCCCTCCAAATAAAGCTCTGGATTTAATGCATGCCACCGCGTTTCCCTGGCTGTACTGCCGCTCTGCATAGATATATTGTGGAGGTATAAAAAGCCAAACCTTGGACAAGATGATTCACTTTTAGGAAAACAAAAAAACAAACAAAACACAAACAACAACAACAAAAAACAACACCAAACAAACCTGTAACGGTGTAAGTTTCAACTAGTGGTTAGACTTGTGACAAATGTCACTATCTATTTATTCTTAAATTATTAGTGGAAGTGTTTATGTTCCATGAAACATTCTGTATAAGCTAGACAGGAAGCTATAAAATATTTTACGAGATCTGCACACGGCCGATGGCCGAATGTTAGTACAACGCTAAGGTTCATCTAAATTCAAGAAGTGTCAGGAAATGCTTATTTTTATTTTTATTTTTCCAGCAAGATCTTCCCTTGACAAAGAGGAGTGCCCTCTGAAAACTTAGGGAGGCTGATTTCAGCAAGGTCCTGAGCATCTCTGGGGAAATATGGGGCTCTGACAGCGTCTCCTCATTTCAAGACAATGGCAAGATCCTCCTACAGGGCTGTGTTTGCTCAGAATGCATCCTGAGGAAGGATGGGACAGGCAGTATGGGAAATGAGATGAACCCCGACTCAAAATCTGGGTCATGCTTCAGTACCCTCACCCCTGGTGACCTCCAGCTGAATTAGTACCCCTTGTTTGCAGATCAATGGGTGAAGAAACTGGAAAATAAGGTAATATAACCCCATGGCCAGGTAGACACTAAGGTGTGAGTGAAACCCCTGTGCAGTCTCATTCCTGTTGAAATTGGTTGTGTTTTCCCCACCGGGTAACCGATAACATGCCAAGCCATCGGCACAACCTAATCCAGCAATTACAAACCCACACGAACAATCAAAATTATTTGTAAACTGAAATTACACAAGCACAAAGCCATTCAGGCACAGCCATTACCACCACCTCAGACTGATTTTTATATGCAAAGTAAAGAAAAAAACGCTGAGGAGAAAATGCACAGTGCCAGCCTGAACGCCCATCTCTGCTTCTGCAGCATGGAAGGTGGGGTTCAGACAGGCTCTGCACCCAGCATAGGTCCGAGTGCTCTCGTTTGAGCTTTAAGCAGAAAGAAAGGCAACTCTGAGAAAAAGCTATTCCTTCCCAATATAAGAATAACTTGGCTGGTTCAAGGAGGGAGACATAACCTACCTTGTTTTACTCTCAATTCAGCTCATGGCTTATGTAGAGAAGTGAAAGGTTATTATATGGGTTTACTGGGCAAACCCAGATTTTATAAATAATTGCCTGTCAGGCTGTTCAAGATAGACAAACATACGGCAGACCAACAAAAACATGATCTGTCATATTTCCGAGAGAAATGTATGTTGAGTCTTCATTCTCTGGGACTTCAAGTAGACCAGTAAAAAATAAGTGCCAGTATTTTCTCTGCTTATGCATATTTTAAAATGTAAAATCTGGGAGAGATACAGCTACGGAAGGAATTTTGATTCCATTACCCAGTGCCTGAAATGGTCTCTTCTGTCTATATGCCTGCAGATCGAAACCAAATACAATAAATGCTGGTGTGTCCTTTAAAAAAGTCTGGATGTTTACAGCAAGCGTATAATTTTCCATGATTAAGGACGCCAACAAAAATAAGAATGATGATAAAAAGAAAAGTTTAATCATATATTTCAACAAGCACAGATGGAACATCAGAAAGCTCCCCTCCCTCCCCCCCCCAATTAATATACGGCAGTGTACACATTACTTTTAGTCCTTTGCACACAGATTAATTCCAGAAAACAGGAGTGTGAGCAGGTAAAATTAAAAAACAATTCATAATCGGCAGTAACATTTGATGTACAAAGTTCACATTTAGGATATTTTGGTTGCAAAGAGAAGACACATTTTTCTGTTTATTTAAAATATAGATGCTTCTAAAGCTTTCGCAAGCAGGTCCAGGAAAGCAGGGCAAGAAAACCACTTACAAATGACCACAATACCATGCAGTGGGAGTAAAAGTTAAGACCTCACATACTCAGCACAAAGGAGGAGGACGGCTGCACTACATAAAAGTAATATTTTGCTGATCTCCTCTTGATCCCTTGAGTGCTCTGTCTTAATTTGAGGTTTAAGTTAGATTTCAAGCCTGTGCTACGAGCGGCTAAAGCAGACCCATGAGCTGCCCCAGGGACACAGGCAGTACATGCCTGCAGATCCTGGTGATGGGCTGAAGCATAAGCCCTTTTCTCTGGTTCAGCATCATCGTGGTTAGCTCTATATTTGTACAGATTTTATGGGAAGTAATGAATACGTTTGTGAGGACAGCACAGGCTGGAGGAGCGGGGGACGGAAAGAACCATCGAAGGAGGGACTGAGATTTAAAAAACAAATCTGAAAACAAACAAAGTGAACTAAAATATAAAAAGGCAATAAAAAGCCCATTTTGTCTTTAGCTGAATACAACATTAACACTGCCTTTGTCAGCAAAAGAGACAACATCTGCCTCCTGCAGCCAACACCTGGCCAGCACGTAACATTAAGCCTTTTTCCAGGGTCACTGAGATGGACACGGCTGGTCAGGCTGTATTCTGTATACTCCAGGATACATTTTCTGAATAGGGGCCAGATTCTGTGCCAAATCACTGCAGAGACTTCCCTTGACTTCAGAGAGCAACAGCTTGGGCCTTCGGGGAGGAATGCAACATGGCAATATTGAGGATTTGGGACTGACAACTTCACTGTGTTGGGGTGTGTGAAGAAAACAAGTATTTAACCAAAAAAAGAGGTATAGGTTACCTGAACTTTTATCTGAAAACATTTGGATTTGAGTTAGGTATCACTATTTTTAAAAATTCCCTTGCTGGATTAAACTGGGTTATACTGTCTGAATGCTATCTAAAAATGACTTGAGGGAAATCACTGAATAACAGTATAGTTTTTCCTTTTTGTAAAAAAGACAAGGAAAACCTACATAGCCTAGAACATCTTTGGCCTCTTTCTGCCCCATCCTGCTTCACAAAACAACATCACTACTAAAACACAGACTTCCAAACAATTAAATAAAAATGACAGCGCATTTTTGAAAGGGGCTGACAGCAGCAAGTCCCCTGCAAACTTCAAACTTGTGTGATCCGTATTCTTGTCCACCTACACGCTATCCCAAACATCCTGCCATTAATTAGCTAAATGTTCCAGCTAGTAAACAAGAATAACGATTGAGGGGGCTGGAAAAAGAGACAGAGTCGGCCAGCAGATAGTCACAACAAACCAGCCCACTCACTGGTACACGGAGACATTGGAGCTTGTATTTTTTTCCTTCCATGGAGGGGAAAAGAAAATCACCTTAATATAACACTGTCTTTCCTGTTGCTGCAGCCACATCCATATTAGCAGGCGAGAAAAGTCATCCCATTTCTGCGGTAGGCACTCTGTCAAAGAAAGAGAAAATCTGTAATGAATTATCACGTCAACTTAAACAAGGGAAGAAGGCAGAGAGAAAGGCAAGGCTTTCTTCCTGTTTTGTAGACTATTCTGGCTGCAATCTAATAGTGTGCTTAATCTGAACATTTCTGGTGGGGAAGCTATAAGCAACCACGTTGTCTATTAAAAAATCAGTGTGGTTAACAAGTGGTTAGTGACTCTATTTCAGGAGAGTGAGAGATATGCAAAAATGTAACATCCTATTTTGTTAATTGCCTGCAAAATAGATGAGGCCAAAAATACACTATTATGCTGAATCTGTTTGTCCTTTATAAGCATGTGTTCTCTATTCACTATGCTCAAGAATCGCTTCTAACCTAACTATCCTAATAGTCTATAAATTACTGAATCATTACAGTTTTCCAAACCTAGCTTACAGTCTGAGTCTGCAGCTATGTAAACAGACACTGGTATAATCCCTACTCCCCAAACCAAACTCATTTTAAAGACATTCCGGTCAGTATAAAATAATTTGATATCTCACACATTGTAACCCGGGATTGAGCATTTCCAATGATAAAGAAACACAAGAGTTAAACAGCATCTGAGAAAAGAATTTTAAAAGATCCTGTGACCCTGCCTCACTAAAATATCTTTCATGCATTTTTAACATCTCTTTCGGAATCAATATAGGAAGCTATGCCTTTTTAACTCAGGCACATTGGAAATCCTATATTTTAAGGGGATATTCTTTTTTTAATTTTATTTTATTTTATTTTATTTTTCTTTTGAGATATTAATGATACCTTCAAAATGGAAAGGGGCTCAAATACTTTTGCTTTATTTGGTTCGCCTTCAGCAGTCATCCAGTTTTGAAAATGAAAATACAGTCATCTATAGAAGTACAGCTAGAGCTTTGTCAGATGTATTTTGTACCTCTTAGGGTTCATGCATTTAGGAAGTGCCTCATATACCATTTTTAGTTACTTTAGCAATTTCCTAATTAATCTCAGGAAGATCAAATTCTCCTCTCTTAGACTAGAAGAGTATCATAAAGACAGTTGAAAAGGATAACCTTGAACAACTTTGTGTATAAATAGTATTTGTACTGAATTGTAAGGAAATAGTTTCAAAAACAGCAAGCGTGTATTCAGAGAGACATTTACAGACACTGAATATGCAAAAGGAAATATGTACAAGATGTTCATTACAGCATCCCTTACATTAACACCATACTTCAACATGCTCATTGAGCAGCATATGGTATTAGAGTCAAAGAGTGGAATATTAGTTCTGGGATATATAGCCAGTCATCAGACATGACAGTATCACCACAAACAAAGAAAATAAATCCAAAAACTCCATACCCAAACATGAAATGCACAAAAACAGACTAGCCAATAATTTTGAAAGGATCCAATATATTCCCACAACCACAAGCAGCAAGTCCAAGGGAGTTTGGATCTGCAGCTTGCCCAAACCATTAGGGCTGGCATTTTGAAGTCAATGCAAAAGTAATGTTTTTAGCTCCTTGACCCCAGTATTTTTACAGAGGTTTATAACCCAAGTGTCAACCTTTAGCACATAAATTAAATATTCAGGGCTATTGTGCAGTTTGCTTGGAGATAAATGAACCCAAGTATAAAGTTGGATTCACATGAAAGATAAAAGGTTGAATTTTATGAAGGGAATTTTGGTCGCAAAAGCAAAGTTGGGCTTGGCTGGGCTTACCTGGGAAATAATGCAGCTTAACATTTTCCAACATGGGCAATATTATACGGTTAGTTATAACCCTGAAAAGGTCATTTTAGAAGCAAGCTTCAGAGGAGGAAGGATAACACCTTCAGAAAGCTGGACACACCCACCAGTCTATATTTAGTAATATATTATAGCTAGAGTGGCTATAGTTAGGGTTGAAAACTATTTCCTACTTAACTCCCTGTTTCACATACTTTAAACTTTCTGAAACATTTGCCCTTGGGCTGAAATTTCCTTTGCTTTAATCCCTGCCCGAAATTCAGTTTTGTTGGAAGGGGCCAACAAAATTCCTTAAGCCATTTTGAAGTTCAGCAATAATGAAAACAACACACTTCTCCGTCCCAAGCCAGAGAAAGTGATTCTGATATGTGCATATTTTATTAAGGAATTTGGACACTAATTGAAGCATTTCACCCCCAAAACAATCTTTACCTTCAACCTCAGCTTAGAGGCAACTGTTTTGGAAATCAGTCTTTCATGGGAGGGAGTTTGATTCATCCCATTCCATAACAAGATAACACTTCTTTCTTATTTTGATACACTACCAGATAATATAGCCTAACCTCCAAAATACTTTTATGCATAGCAAAGCTATTTTACAGTTACCCCCTCGTTCTAAGTTACGCCATTTATCTTTAAGATATATACAGCTGAATTCATGATACTAAAAAACATATCTGCACATGCCAAGAATCCTGAAGAGAAACAGCATGTTTTTTTTTATAAACCTTGTATGTGCATGGGCCATCACAAGAGAGATTGTACGTGTATGACAGTTATTCACTGTGGTTTGATATAATGAAAAGGGATGAGATTTTTGGGTGCTATCTGGCACTTTGGCAGTAACCTTGTTTAAAAAAGGACAGTTTGGCTCAGAATTACATGCGGAGGATAGCGCAGCCTCTTGATGTGGAAATAAAATGGCAGGCCATACGTGATTCCATTTGGCTGGTACAGAGCTGCAACATCCCAACATCAGGAGATAACATAAGCCCACCGTCCCTTCTGGAGCCCAGTTTGGAAAAACATTTACTGCATCCACATTTTTTTGTGTGTGCTCTCTCTCTCAAAATGTGCAGTCTACCGGCATGTGCTTTGACATTTCCTGCTGTGGGCTGACTCTTTGCCATGGCTGAAGGTCCCTCAGCCTGTTACCGCACCCACTGTGCACGGGTGGTCAAGGGACCACCTTTTAGATGTGGGAAATCACCTAGCTTGGCACAAATTATGCCGTCTACCTTCCCAGAACAGATCCCACACTATGAAAAGTTGATGTAACCTTATTTAGCCCATTTAGCCTTCACAGAAACTCTTCTGGTTTCTTGCTATCATATGGCAAGGTTTTGCATCCTCTTTTCTGACCTCGTTAAAAGCAAATCAGATTGCTGCAACCCACAACCAGAACCTAAGCAGGCTGGACCCAAAAAAAAAGCAGCAATATGACCTTCATTTTGCCCAATCCACTCTTGCCACATGCCCCTGTTTGGGGGAAAGGCATGATGATTTTGCTGCTGAGCACTCCACTTCCTGGCCCCGACCCGAGCCCAACTAGGCAGCATGTGGATGCATTTTCTTCATTTAAGGCAATCTGAAGAACTTATGTTTTTCCCATTTGCAAGTAACACAGCAATCGCAAATTCATGTCAGTTACATCTCTGCACTGCATTACACCAGACATCATCTGCCTGCCTACTGTACTAGGAAGCCTACCTTGAAAATGTTGTGCCTTTAGGTTATCATAGTACATTGGATTCTGATATGGAAAGCTTCTCTGGGAACACTACCATAATTTACTCATCTTTTATATTGTTTATATCATCAGTCTGAAAAGAATGGCAATGCAGCAGAAAATATAAGCTGTGCTCACTTCTATCACCCATCTAAAAGCAAGATCACGCTTTGTCCTTGGTTTGGTGGAAGAAGGCAAAACTAACAACTTAAGAAGGCAATTTGTAATAAAAGGCCTTGGTCAAGAAACTCCTCAAATTTCATGAAAACTCATCCACTTTCTGCTCTCTTTTTTAGTCCCATGTCCCTCTTGTAGTAGTAGCACGAGCTAGGATGCTATGATGGACAACAAAGAACTGCTCCTTGAAGAGGGCAGCAGAACTCCTGTCCCCAAAGTAGGTCATATAAACTCTTTAGTGAAGAGCTTATAGGGCCAATTTATAGGGCAGAAAGTCACCTCATTTTTAACACAGACATACCGAAGCTGTGATTTACAGAAACAAGCACCAGCCAAATCCAAAGATTTGAGTACTCCTCCACTTTGGAGCATACCAGATTTGAAGACTAAGACTTCTGAACAGGCACCTTAGCTAGAAATGGTTTCCAGTTAACAATTTATAGTAGTGCATAACTTCCCAGCTGTAGCATGATGATAAAGAATAATTTTGGCAAGAGAAAGAAACAGCTGTGACTTTTGAGCAGGCTGATAGGAATTAATTTTTTTTTTGGAATAAGTTTTGGAAAGTGTAGGGTAAAACATCTCCAGTGGACATCTCAGACACGGGGGTCTATTGGGCCAAATCTTCCACTAGTTTCATGCTCGGGTTCTGCTTGCATTGAAGATGAAACAGAATTTTGTACCACCAGATAATATATTGTTTTATCATTTAAAGATGATAAATCCTGCATTACAGGTCCTCTCTAAGCAAGTTACAAACAACATTTTTAAAACAAAGTATCTGTCTCTTGCTGTCCTTGTGTATGTGTGTGGGCAAGTGGTTTAATTACAATGCATGAAGTGGAATGGCAGACAGAGACATCAAAATCAAAGAGCAAGTCCTGGCTGAACTTCATTAGCAAACATAAATACAAATAGGCACATCATGTTTGTGACATGCCACGGTCCTTTCCTCCTTTGGTAATTTTACTCTATTCTCTGATATTTGCATAAATGTAAATCAAACCATATGACTTAGACAGGCTTATGATAGGGGAATCATATGCAAAACGTTTTTTCATTAAATAATTTTCTTCGTGCAGTCTTACAGTGTTACTGTGAAAATCAGGGAGGATTAGATCTCAGACAGTGAAAGCCTTTATTTAAGAACAGTGGAGGGAGCCCTGCCCTTTAAATAAGAGACATTCTTGGATCAGACACTGGCTGGCAGAATGGAAAAAAGGATGTAGCATTAACTTTCATTCCATTCCAAATAACCTGGAACCCATAAAACACAAAGATTCTCTAATTTTAAATCTGCTCCCTTTCTCCCTGTGTTTTCTTTCCATTTTATTTGTGGAATGT